TGCAGTGGGTGTTTGACAGGCCAGCACACCAACCTGTCCCCGCAGAAGGTTAGACAAATGGAAGCACCCTGGTAGGTACAGGCTGCATCCAGGCAGATTGGGAGGGTTAGCAGGCACCTGCCTCCTGTGGCCACCTCCCACCACAGAGCATCCTCTTGGGCCCAGGTGACAGGGTCATTTCCAGGGGTAGGGACTTGGGGCTGGAGCTGCCTCCCCTGGTGCCCCAGAAGAGTGACTGTGGGATGCCTGTCGTTGGCCAAGCCCTCCCTCCCCAGCTTTGTTTATGCAGGGTGGCAAAAACCGCCTGGATTGCTGGCTGGGCCTAGTCCAAGCCTCCCGCCGAATTCCTTTTCTATCAAGTCACTGCAGTCTGCGGTGGGGCACAGGAGCTCTCCTCATAGGGCATGGCTCTCTCAGCCCCAGGCCTCTTCTGTCCAGTTCTGCTTGTCCAAGAACAGCAGCCCAGGGTAGTCACTAGACTTCGAGAGGCTAGGGGACCAGTCAGTGGCAGCCCAGACTGTGAATGGAGTCTGGTGGGAGTCAGCAGACCCAGGACCCAAGCCCTGGGCTTTCTGTGTGACCCTGGGCAATGCCCTTTCGCTTTCTCAGCCACACAGAATTCTTTTCTCTGAGATCCTTTATCCTCTGACATTTGAGGATTGTATAAACCCATGGATGCTAAGCTAAAGGTTGGTAGATCAAACCCACCCAGTGAGCTGTGGTTTACTTATCAGTAAAATAACAGTAATGGTAGTTAGTGTTCTATAGGATTGTCGGATGAGTTAAGTAAAATAATATATGGAAAGTATATGGAAAGGTACATAGTAACTGCCCAATAAGTTGCTACTATCGCAGAATTCTGATTTGCAAAGTTGTGGGGACTAGAGATGTAGTGAGAATCTCTAAAGAGCCATCAGAAAAGAAAGAAAAAGCTTTCCATATGTGTGCCCTGGAGGAATAAGAGGTAGGAAGACAAGGCAAGAGATGGAGCCTTTCAGCTTACTGTTTGGGTTTTGTCTTTGCTCTCGAGTCAGAACCAACTCACAGCTGACCCTTCAGCTGGTTTCTCAGAGGCTGTAAATTTCACAAGAGGCAATCTTTCTCTCAAGGAGCAGTTGGTGGATCAGAACCACCTGCCTTTGGGTTGGCCACACAACTCCTTACCCACTAGGCCACCAAAGCTCTGCTGTACCAGCTTACTATAGGTACCACTTTATAGCTAAGAGATGCTAACTGGTAGATGGCATCTTCCCAGAGTTGTGAGCTCCCTGTCAGTTGAGTGTATGAATAGAAGTTTGCTTACTCAAGGTAGGTGAGTTTGTGGATAAAAGAATTCTGTAGGTCAAAACAACTATGAGATACCATCTCACACCAGTAACAATAGCAAAGTTCAACAGGGCAGCAAACAACAAATGCTGGCAAGGTTATAAAGAGATTGTAACTCTTACTTATTGCTTGTGGGAATGTAAAATGGTACAACCACTATGGAAGGGGGGTCGGTCTGGTGTTTTATCAGAAAGTTGGAAATAGAAACACTATTTGACCTAGCAATTCCACTACTATGAGGAATATACCCTAAAGGAACCACAGCTTCCACCCAGACAGATGTATTATTACCCAGACCCATGTTTATTGCTGCATTATTCACAACAGTAACAGATGAAAGCAAACCAAGTGCCCGGCAACAAGTAAATGGATAGAAAAACCATGGTATATTCACACAATGTAATACTATGCAGCCTGGGTGACCCTGGAGGACATTATGCTGAGTGAAATATCACAATCACAAAAGGACAAATAATGTATAATACCACTGTTATAAAACAGAACTGACAGGAGTTGGGTGGGGGGTAACTGAGAAAAGAGGGGATAAATAATGAGTACTGCATTGGAACAGATGAAGGAAAGAACTGCTTAAAAGGAACATATGAGGCATTATTTGTATGACAACAGTACAGCATAAGAGGTGGATAGTAAAGTGAATTGAGGGGGGGTGAGAAGGAGGGAGGAAATTATGCAACAATGAATGAATTTTTTTAAGTGAACCTGGGAGTTAGGAGGGAAATGATAATTAATGGGTGAAAATTCATTTTTTCTGTAAATTTTCATTAAAATCACAATTTTAAAAAGGGAGGGGGAAGAATCCTGCAGGGAATTTGACTGCAACATCCATAATTCTGTGGTTCTGTGAGTTTGGGCAACAAAACTATCTCTTTCTACTGTAAGACCTTAGGAGATTCCATCCCCTCTTAAGAACCTAGATCTATAGAATGAGTTTGCTAGAAAAAGATCTGACCCCTTCCAGGGACTAGAATGGAGTCCCCAATTGCTAGCTCATTCCAAGGCAGTGTGAGCCCTTGCCTCATCTTAAATGAACTTGTTAACAATAAGCCCTTGATAGTCACTGCTGCTCCCAGTCCTAACATTAGTGCTGTTATCACCCCTTCTCAGTTAAGGAAACTGACTCCAAGAGGTGCACTAACATGCCACGGCCACACAGCTTATAAACAGCGGGTTTAGGCCAGGCAGGCTGGCTTCTAAGCAGAGAAGAGGAAGACATTACGTGAGACAAGCAGCCTTCCAGTCTGACCTTCAGTGTGGCTGGCTGTCCCCTTTCTTATCCCCCTACGAGAAGGCAACAGGTGTTGTGAGTAGGCAGGGGATCCAGGTCTTAAGGGAGGAAAGAAGAAAGGGGCTGGGGTCAGAGGGCTGGTGGCTGGTGAGCCTCATCTCAGTGAAGATGTTGTGCACAGTTCCTCTATTCTGTGTGGTCCTTCCTGCTGAGTTCTGTGCCTAGTGCCTGCCTGGTCAACAGTGGACCACTTTGTGGGCCTCACTTTCCCCATCTGTAAATTGGGAGTGGTGGGGAAATGGCTCCTCAATGGGGCCTTTCTAGCTCTGAGAGACCCTGATTCTTGAGCTTCTTTGGCAGGATGCCTAGAAAGACTGTCCCTGGAGACCCACTCGGCATGCCACGGCCAGTGCTAATGAGGGCAAGACAGGGGGGAGGGCAGGGTCACATTCCTCAGGAACTAATTAGCCGCCCATGGTTAGTGGGGCGAGAAGAGGGAGGGAGGGATTTTCCCAGCCCCAGACTGAGCTTCTAACACAGGCTGATGGTCTCTCTTCTCTGTCTGTTGTCAGTTCATGTATCATTGTTCAATAGGTATAAATTGAGTACCTATTGGTGGGTTCAACAGACAAGGCCATTGAGCCCTTAAGGCCCTTAAGCTTATGTTCCAGTTGGGGAAACAGACAATAAACAAAGAACCTGTAAAGAGGAAGATTTAAAATTCTGGTGAATGCCAGAACTGGGCAGATAAAGAGAAGTTATTGCCTGTGGGGTCTGGCGGTCTGCTTCCAGAAAGTCCTAGACTTGAAAATCCTAAGGAGTTGTTCTGCTCTGCACATGTGGGGCGGCCATTAGTCAGAATCTACAGAATAGAGACACAACAGTAGTGAATCTCTTGATCCCTGCTGAGCCTCTCACCCTTGTTGATTCTGTCCCCCATATGTGCCATTTGGCGTGAACAGACAGCTTGGGCTCTATGTAGCACAGAGAGCCCTGGATCTGACTCCAGCTTTGCCACCCTTCACTAAGTTACCAGGAGGGCAGTTACTTATAAATCTCTAAGCCTTAATTTCCATTTCTGTGAAATAGAGGCGATAATGCCTGTTTCCTAGTGTTCATAAAGTGGTGTTTGGGTTGTTGTGTTATTTTTTTGTTTTTTTTTTTAACTAATGCAAAGTCTCTACACAGTTGCTGCTAAAGTGAGCATCATTTATCACTTTTCTGATGTTCAAATGGGGAGCTCTAGTGGAGTAGTCTGTAGGGAGTTGCACTGCCTGCCCAAAAGTGGCTCCTCTCTGGAGGTTCGAATCCACCAATGACTCCTCTGGAGAAGGATGGACAGTTCTCTCCTGTGAGAGAGAGCCTCTAAAATCCACTTGGAGGGTCAACTGTGAGTCTGTCCTGACTCAATAGCCATGAGTGAGTTCCTGAGAATTTTTCAATGATTGTTTAAATAAAAGGAAGCAAGTAGAAGAAACTGTTTACAGTGGTTACCTGATTGTAGTGTGAGGTGCTCAAGGAGAAAGAGTTTCTCTACACATACTTTATAAGCTTTTACTCTTGGAACAAGTGAATATATTATCCATTTTCAGAAAGAGAAATGTTAGTATCATATCTTGTTAAAATCAAATCCCTATACTATGAGTGTGGAAAGGACAACAAGTCCTATAAGAAACACCTAGAAAATGTTCCGGTGTTCATTCATGCGTTCAGTAGTAGGTCTGAGGCCCACTTTCAGCTGGGGGCTATTCAAGGGGCAAGCCAGGTAGATAGGGTCATTGCTCTTAAGTTTATAGGTTAGTTGGGGAGCAGACAATGGACAAGGAAATCAGAGAATAAGTTCAAGTTGTGAATGCTGTGAAGAGAGTAGAATGAGGAGATGGGATTGGAAGGAGAGGGCTGTCTTTCTAAAGAGGGGACACCCAAGTTGAGAACTGAGTGGCAAGAAGGAACCAACATGAATTGTCAGCTGTGAAAGGATCATTTCAAGCAGAGGACCGCAAAGGCAAAAGCCCTGAGGGTAGGAACATACTCAGCATTTTCAAGGAACAGAAAAAAAAAGGCATTGTGTAAGATATCAGTGAGACAGGAGGGGAGAAGATGAGCCAGTGATGTCTGAGGACCCTGGCCACCACAGTCAGGACTTCATACAGTTTGGTAAAACATCCTATCAACAACTGTCAGGGGAAATCCAGATGAAGGGTTCACCAGTTCTGGAGGGATCTTTGGGCCTCCTTCCCTCAGGTGGTGGCACTGAGTGGCCATGAAGGGGGCTAAGAGATTGTGATGCGAAGAGGTGATCCTAGGAAGGAGTGAGTGAAGATCAAGGTCCAGAAAAGATTGTATTGTATGAGAGAGCTAGGTACCCCTGTGGTCTGCATTCCCTTTTGCTAACTGGTTCTCTGTCCCTCTCCCTGCAGCTCTCGGCCGGAGCACTAGCTTCACTGAGAAGGATCTGAAAGAGGCCAAGGCGAGGAGCCAGCAGATCGCCGCCCAGCTGACCACCCCTCCCAGCTCCAACTCGCGTGGCGTCCAGCTCTTCAACAGGCGCCGGCAGAGGGTGAACGAGTTCACCTTGGAGAGCCACGGCCGGAGAGGCCAGAAGCCCAGTCAAGAGTGCCTCAAAGTGCTCCCTGCCAGCCCCACAGGCCATGCCCGGGGACTCTGCCTGAGTCCCCCATTACTCCCTGAGCCAAGCCTTCCCAGGACCCCCAACCCTCAGAGCCCTGGGACAGGCATCCCTGGCCCCAGCATGGAGGGCTATTCAGATGAGGCCAACTTGCTGCGGCACCTGGAGAAGGTGGCCAGTGAGGAAGAGGAGGTGCCCCTGGTGGTTTATTTAAAGGAGAATGCAGCCCTGCTGACAGCCAACGGGCTCCACCTGTCCCAGAACCGCGAGGCCCAGCAGGCCCCACCAACCCCGCCTGCTGAAGTCCATACCCCAACGGCAGATGTCAACCAGAACCTTCCCCCGCCCAGTGACACGCTCCCTACACCAGCTTCTAACAGCAACCACAACCCGCCAGCCACAGATGTCAACCAGAACCCACCGACAACTGTCATTCCTCAAAGCCTGGCCCTTTCTAGCACCCAAAAGAATTTGTCTGAGGAACAGCTCCCGCCCAATGGCACAGTGCCAGATTCCAAGCCCAGCACTCCGTGTGCTGGCGGGCAACCCCAGGCACCAGCTGTGGAAGTGAAATCCAGCACACTCCTTATTGATAAAGTATCCACACCAACTTCCACCACCAACACCTTTTCCAGGGAAGCCACGCCCATCCCCAGCTCAGAGGCCTCAACCCCAGAATTCATGTCCAGCTCTCTGCTGATCGATATCCAGCCTAGCACCCTACTGGTGTCAGGAGAACAAGAGATGTTTGGGCGACCAGCCCCCACTACGCCCACAAAGATGTACAGTGAAGTCCACTTCACCCTGGCTAAGTCCCCTTCAGTGGTCAACAGGACGGCCAGGCCCTTTGGGATCCAGGGAGCAGGGGGTGCCAGCCAAATGGAACGAAGCCCCATGGTAGAGAGACGACATTTTGGGGAGAAAGCCCCAGCTCCCCAGCCTCCCAGCATTGCAGACAGAAGTCCCCAGCCACAAAGACATGTAATGTCCCACAGCCCAATGATGGAGAGGAGGCCCTTGGTGCAACGAAGCCCGGCTTTGGAGAGACGACCCATGGGGAATTTCACCCCACCTCCCACCTACGCTGAGACCTTGTCCACAGCTCCCCTGCCTTCCCGGGTTAGGTCACCACCCTCTTATTCTGCCCTGTACCCCAGCTCTGACTCTAAACCATCTCATATGAAAAGCCAAGGAGTTCCCACCAGCAAGACAGGCATTCTGGAGGAGTCGATGGTTCGTAGGGGCAGCCGGAAGTCCATGTTCACCTTCGTGGAGAAGCCTAAGGTGACCCCGAACCCAGACCTACTGGATCTGGTGCAGACGGCCGATGAGAAGCGGAGGCAGAGGGACCACGGCGAGGTGGGCCTGGAGGAGGAGCCCTTCGCATTGGGGGCCGAGGCCTCCAACTTTCAGCAGGAGCCAGTGCCCCGGGACAGGGCCAGCCCCTCAACAGCTGAGGAGGCTGTCCCAGAGTGGGCTTCGTGCCTCAAGTCCCCCCGCATCCAAGCCAAGCCAAAGCCCAAACCCAACCAGAACCTGTCCGAGGCCTCCGGGAAGGGGGCTGAGCTCTATGCCCGCCGGCAGTCCCGGATGGAGAAGTACGTTATTGAGTCTTCAGGTCACGCTGAGCTGGCCCGCTGCCCTTCACCCACTATGTCCCTGCCTTCATCCTGGAAATACTCCACGAATGCCCCTGGGACCCTCCGAGTGGCCTCTCGAAGCCCAGCCAGGACCCCGCCTGCCTCCCTCTACCATGGCTACCTGCCTGAGAATGGGGTCCTGCGCCCAGAGCCCACCAAGCAGCCACCATACCAGATGCGGCCCTCGCTCTTTGTCCTCTCGCCCATCAAGGAACCTGCCAAGGTCTCAGCAAGAGCTGCCTCTCCCAGAGCTGCCTCACCTGCCAAGCCGAGCTCCCTCGACCTGGTGCCCAACCTGCCCAAAGCGGCCCTGCCAGTGTCTCCTGTCCTGCCTCGGCCCTCGCGCTCCTCACCAGGCCTCTACACCTCACCCGGCCAAGACGGCCTCCAGCCCACTGCTGTGAGCCCAACCTACAGCAGTGACATCTCCCCCGTGTCTCCCTCCAGGGCATGGTCCCCTCGAGCTAAGCAGGCTCCACGGCCCTCCTTCTCCACCCGCAATGCAGGGATCGAGGCGCAGGTGTGGAAGCCTTCCTTCTGTTTCAAGTAGCGAGGCCCCGCAGGGTGTCCCACTGCCTGTCAGGGCCTCTCTCTGAGGGTCTGATGGAGTTCCACTGGGGTGGGAGATGGCACGGGGCTGAGAGTCAGGCGTGGAAGTGTTGCAGATCCAAAGCCTGACACCACAACCAGCTAGCTTTGTGACCTTGGGCAAGTTGTCTCCCTTCTCTGAGCTGCAGCTCCCCTTTCCTACCCACAGGGTGGTTGGACTTCATGTCTGAGGGATCTGATGTCTGATTCTGGGTGGGGGAGGAGGGCCATGTGATATAAACTCCCTGGCAGACCCTAATGAGGCTGAGGAGCTGTAGGGGCACCAGGGTCTGATGCCAGCGTCTTGCTGGAGAAATGGCCTAGAGGAGGCTTTTGGAGCAAACAACCTGCCAAGCCTGTTGGAGTCAGCCAGTCAATGAATGGGCTGTGTTCTCAGCTGCCCGAGGACTTTCCTCATGTGGCCCAGGGTCCTGGTACCTTTCTGCCTCTTGCAGGATTCTCACCGCCACAGGCCTGTCTCTTCCACCTCTGCCTTCTGGACACTGCTTCCTCTCAGCTGCTTCAGAGAGCTTTGCCTCGGCCTCCATCTCTCCTCCATCCCTCAGGTCTTCCCACTGGACTCGGCCCCCCACTCCACCCACTACTGTCAACTTTTGCCTTCCTGCCCCTCTGCTTGACTGCCTCCTGCCCACTCCAAGCACCTGGCTCTGCTCCAGGGAGACTCGTGGGTCCTCAACCTCAGTCCTGGTTCTGCTCAGCTTGCCTCCACTGCCTTGGGATGAGGAGGTTCCAGGGGCTCCGTAAGAGGCAGAGGATGTGCAGAGTGGATGTGCAGCTAGGTTTGAGCTTTGACTTCAGCCAAGAGCTGCCTGACAAAACACAACTATTTTAATGCAGTGAAACAGGCCCCAGGGAGAGACAGGAGAGGAGGATTCTGGTCCCAACTCAGACACTCATTTGCTGTGTGACTTTGGCCAAGTCACTTAGCCTCTCAAAGCCTCCATTTTCTCATCAGTAAAATGAGAGCCCTTCTGAGAGTGATGATCTGTGATGCTAGGCTGATGCTTTGGAAGAAAGTCTTTGTAAGTGACAAGACAGTCCCCTGGGAAGAAAAGAAAAAGGCTATGGGCTGCTGCCACATGACAGGTGGAGGTTAGATGTCAGTGTGATTGGAATGAGTGGCCACCAGAGACCAAGAGATTCGAAGTTCTGGCTCAGGATTGCCTGGAGATAGGGTAGCGTGGCCAGAGTTAGGTCAAGACATAGCAGCTCTGTGGAAAAGTACAGAAAATACTGTAGTAGCTTTGAGGAAAAACCTGAGACTTCAAACATTTGCTTCTAAACATATTGACCCTTTGTGTGTCTTTGAATCTCAGTTTCTCGATTGTAGAGTGAGGGTTTGAGTCAGGTAGTTGAGGTTCCTACTACCTCCAACATCTTTGATGTGCTGCAGCCCCACCACCCCTCTTCACAAAACCAGGCTTTGTGGGGATTGAGAATACCCCCTGGAAGAGATGGGATTCAGATGGAAGTGTCCCTAGGCTGGGGGCCGAGGACCACCCACTTTCCCTTCCCAGCCCTATTTCTGGCCTCCCCAGGGTGTGAGAGGTGGTGGGGGTGGTGCCCATGTTGGGCTGAGCCTGCAGTTTTCAGTGAGCTCCAGGCTTGTCTCCATGGGAACGAGGGGTGCCTTCCCAGTGAGCTCATTCCACCCAGAGCTGGGGGTTATGCGTGGGAGTCATGAGCAAGCTTAGCTGCCTCCTGCCAGGCCCCGCTCCAGGACAGAGCGATGCCCCCATCCCCACCTCACTGGACCTCTGCTCCTTTTGGTCCCTGGGGGCCAGCAGTGGAAGAGCTCACCCTCCACAGGGCAGCTCCTGCAACCAAAACCTCTTCTTCCTCGGACTCTGTTTCCTCTCCTGTTCTGAATACACTCTGCCTCAAATCTGTCTTGCTGCTTTCTTTCTTCTCTGCTCGCCGTCTCTCCTCCCCCTTCTCCCTGATTCTGACCTGGGAAATGGAGCAAGAACAGCCACACTCCATTCCTACGTGTGAAGGTGTGATTGTGGGGTGACTGTGTGCTCCTGCCTCTGCAGTGTCTGGGTATGTGGGGAGGGGGGACAGACTCAAATTGGCTTGGAAGTGAGGGCTGCCCTGTGTTCGAGGGGCCAGCACTCAGGGAACCAGAATCCTGTGGAAATCACATTCCACTTCCCTTGGAGTCTGGCCAGAAACGAAGTAGAGCATGGGAAAACCCCACAGCCCTTTATGGCCCAGGTCTGTTTGAGCTCTTTAAACAAGGAATTTAAAAACCTTGAGCCAGAGCCTTCTCGCTCATTCCCTCAGGCTTGCTCCCTATTCTCTTACTTGAGCCGTCTCCACATTAGTTTCTGCCTGACTCCTGAAACGTTTTCTCCTTTGCTAGGGGTGGGGGAGGGAGGACCTGCCACCAAAAGTCAGGAGAACAGGCTTCGAGTCCCTGATTGCACCCAGCTCTGGACCTCTCAGGTCTCTCTTCTGTGCAAAGAAAGACTGCAGAAGGTGGTCTGGGAGCTCTTTGGAGTCTCTAATGGCTCCTGTCCGACTGCTCTACTGTGTCCTCACCCCACGCATGTGCCTGGTGCTAACCTGAATGGGGGCTGCCTTCTGAGTGCTTGCTGCATTTCTTAGGAGTTCTGGTGTCTGCAGTGCATCGAGATCTCTGTCAGAAAGGGAACAGATCTGAATTCCTGCAGCATCTTGTACTGTGTTCACCCAGCACACACATTCACGCAGTCAGCGTTCAGGTGTGGAGTCAGTATGAGGTCAAGCTCTGGCTTTGTTTGCTCACTTCCACATGATGGGAAGCTTCCCACCACTACCCCAGGCTTCCAGCCCTGCTTGAGCCGTTCTGCTGCAGAGCCCTGCCTGAATTCTATTACTCCTTCTACTGTTTGGCCCTTGCATTCCCCTTGTGGCCACTAATGACAGAGACAACCCTTTAGAAATGTTCAGACAATTTTCATAGCTAGCTCCCCCTACCCCTCCTACCCTTCTGGCTGTAAAGCCTGGTTCCTCTGTCTCAATGCTTGTGGCTTGGATCAAGGACTGTGGGCACCCACCCCTCTGCAAAGAGTGGCCCTGTGGTCCAGTGTTGGGACATGCCTGAGCCCATTCTGATTTGACATTTGGCCCTGAGACTGGTCTCAGCTGCCAGCCCTTCCTTCTGACCCTGGGGCAGGGTCCTCCCTCTCAGCTCCTCCTGAGTTGCAGAGTCTTCCCCCTGCACTCAGCCTATCTGAAAGTTTCCTGAGAATGAACACACACACACAAACACACACACACACACACACACACACACACACACACACACACACACACACATATGCACACTAGCTCCCAGTGTCTCAGACTCACATGTACATGACTCTTAAGAGTGAAAAGGGATAGATCCCACTCTGAGCCTTGTATGTCCCAGTAGATCCGTAAGAGTCACTCTAGCACTACTATCCTATAAAAATTCCTCCTGTTCAGGCTGCTATACAACATTCCCCTGTAGGCAAAAAGGCTCCAGTTCTGAAGCTGGGTTTATCTAGCAGCTGCTGCATTCTATTTGGAAAAACCACGCAATTGATGTCTCTTACTGCCTTTCAGTTGGGAGGAATTTGATTCTGGTTGGATGAGAGAGTGGCTGGCTTGCCTATGGTTCATCACTGACTGGGTGAGAGATTGGAGTTTGTGGATGCTTCTAGATTTTGAATTGATGGGTGACCCAGAAGGACTGGGTAATTTTCCTCTCTGATGGGTGACTGCTGGTAAATTTGGATTGGAGTGGGAGGCTGAGTGGACTGGGTCTTGCTGGAATCTGACTGAGCAGTTGAATGGTTTAGCAGCTGTGTGCTGGATGTAGGCTCCCTAGCCCTCCACATTTAAACCTGTTCTAGCTGCTTAAACATGATATAGCCTTTGAATAACAGAAAGTCAGTCTCTCTCTCTCTCTCTTACACACACATACACACACATGTAAGGCAGAACACACTGGGTGGTTATTTGTGCCTCTGAGCTTCGTTTTCCTCATTAGTAAGTTGGATGAGATAATACCAGTTACCTCACCAGTCTATTGTAAGGCTCTGATGAGAGATAAAGGATGAGACTAAACCTTGTAGATGGAAAGGTCCTTAAAAAGTGTAAAGAAAATGTCATGGCACCAGATATCTTCATCTGATGCCAGGAAGAGGAGAGAGAATACCTGCCAGCACCAGCCCACGGCTGACTGCTGTGAGGCAGAGGTCAAATATGCTTCCCCTCACTCATATTTTCACCAATTCTAATACCAGCCACCCTCCCCTCCATGCCATTCTCTCCTCTTCTGCTGGGTTCAGTAATTCATTGCAGGGGCCACACAGAACTCCCAGACCACACTCACTCTTCAGAGATTTATTAGAGAAGTGACAGGTTATGGCTCAGAATCAAGATTAACAGGTACAACGCAGGCTTGGGATCAGGAACCATGGAGGCAGAAATGCTCCTTCTTCCATGCAAGGCAGCTTTCTCAGCTTCCTCTCAGCCTGCTGAGGACAGGCTCCACTCTTGGGCCTCAGCACCTGCTTGGACCTGACTTCTTCCCTGCTCAGCCAAATGTTCTAAAACCTGTTACACACTCTATGCATTAGTGCCCAGAGATACCCCACTCCACCAGTAACCCTCCTGCCCAAAGGTGTTCAGCTCCCTGACTCTGGGCTGGCATACCCACTGTAGCTGCCTCACCCTATGAGCTGGGAAGCACCCCACACACACACATACACACACACTATCTCCTGCTGGTGTCCTGGTTCTGCTGCTGCCATTTCTCTGCTGTACTTCTTGTCATCTTGCTGCTTTCTCTAAGGTCACAGCTGTCTGTCTCCCACTTAGATCTAGGAGGTTCTCAACAAAGGGACCTCAGGGCCAAAGGGCACATTCTGGGAATATACATATATACACTATATATACACATACATACATATATACACTATATATACACATACATACATATATACACTATATATACACATACATACATAT